AGCGAGTAAATTGGTAATTTATTGAAAACCATCGATGGTACATTGTTCGACAAACACATACTTTGCTATCTGAGGTCACTGATACCAGGTCAGGTCACAGCGAGGTCAGGTCACCGGGGGTCACAATATGAATGTGTCGTGTGATACATGTTTTATGGTCCATTTTACATGACAAATGCGATTATGTGGGTTAGGCAGCCTTTGGGGCCAGCCTAGGTCACGTTTTTGTGAAGGTCAGGTCAAGGTCAGGTCAAATTAGGTCAAATTTCAAAGTTGATATTTTTGCATAAAATGGGTATCGATTCGATGCAGCTCGTCACGGGGAGTCTAATGGTGGTCTTCGTTTTGCTCTACGAGTTCTAGAATTGCCAAAAATTGAGTTTGAAAATTTGACGTCATCATTTTAGAACAGTTTTTTTCGCTATAACTTGGCCAAAAAACGAGGTATCGATCTGAAATTTGGTATGTAGATAGAAGACGGTAGGTACTATCACATATATTACGGTTTTTTCGAAACTCAAAAAACTTTTTGGATTTTTTGGCGAATATATCCAAAAAAATGCTTTTTTGATTTTTGGGGGTCAAAACTAAAAAAATTCAAAAATTCGAGATAGCAGTTTTGTAGCCCTGTCAATTCTACACCTTTTATGTCTTGATCATTTTTCTGTATCTTCAAAGCTGTAGTCCTGACAGGTCTTCTCGCGAAGGTCTTTTTTCGGTCGAAAATGACAGAACATGACGTCACTCTGACGTCATTTGTGGCCAACCTATCATAGCCTCTGGAAAAATTTTTGGTCACAATGTGCAAAATTGATGCCCGGAGGGGTCCTGAAAGTTTGGTGGCGATATCTCCAGCCGTTCAGGAGATATCGACCGAAAAGGACAGGGGGGGGGCCGTTTCGGCCCCCCCCCTACGGGGCGCGGGTTAAAGCTAGTACGATGCAAACTGTTGGTTCCCTAGAGCAGTATTTACATACTTGTAGGAGATAGGACTTTAACATTACGGGAGCTTCTAAACTGCGCTCGCAAAGTACTTGATTGTAAATATTTTCATTTAGAGGCAAAAATCCAAAAATGTACAGTCAGAGCGTTGTTCCCAATGCTTCTAGGTACACAATGAGCATAAATTTAGCTCGAAATGTCATCACACATTGGTTCCCAGGGCCAGTCCAGTTAAAAACGACACTTTGTGCCGCAGAGCCTATCTCTTCCAATGGATGGCGGCTGGGTGGCGGTTGTAGTGGTGGACAAGACAATTCTTGAGTGAAATGAAATCATTTGCTTTCAAAGAAGAATTTTGAAGAACTTGTAATAATTGACAAATGATCGTTAATTACAGTGTATAATTTCAAGTTCATGGCAAATGAAAATATTAGTTAAACAATGCTAGTGAACCCCAGTACCGCCGCGCGAGAAAGCAAGTACTCGACGCACGGTCTGCCCGCCACTTCTGAAAATGGTCCGCGGCCGGCCGGCCGCGTCCCGACACGTATCATCTTCAGTGCTAGCTTCCCATAATACAAAAAGAAAATGGTACAAAAGCTCACAACACATCATGTGGCATAGGAATCATGTGGAATGATGAACTGCGTGTGTGGCAAGGCATCAACTGTTTTTAAGGAATTTCCTACAAAAGAAAGTAACATTTAACCTGTGCTGATTTTGATCAATGATCGAGAAGGTCATTTAAAATACTATAAAGCTAAAAAATTTTCATCGAAAGAACGCCGCATAAAAATTTGTCATGAAACAGACGCATGGATATGCTAAGATGTCACGTGCAAAGGTCAAGTTTAATCAATAATCAACGCGTTTCAGCCGCGATTTGGGAGCGCAAAGCGTTTTCCAAGCGGGACGCGTTTTCGACGCGGGTTGTGAGCTGAATTGCAAGTGAAAACACAGCGGACGAAGCGATTTCCGCGCTTGACGCGAGTTCGACGCGATTTGCAAGCGAGTGCTGTGTTCCGGCCTTAACACTGAAATGCTCGACGGAAAGTCATGATACTCTGTTTGCCACGTGTAATGTTGAGCCACCAGCCTCGAAAGAGCTTCGCTCTTCACCCTCTGATTTCACCCTCTGATATACTGCACAAATGTAGCTCCAAGTATAGTCAATAATCCCTTGTCACTGAAGTATAGCTATCAGGAGAGGAACTGCTCACTCAGACGGCATTAGCGGTTGTCAGAAGAGGCCGGCGATATGAACAGGATCTGGCCTTTCTATTTGTTCTGTCATATCAATTTAGAACTGTGTGCGACATCACGTGTCGTTGATAGCAGCGTACAAGCTGCCGGATACTTTAAATCCAAGGTGTGTCACACCACCTCAGTGAAGTGTGCAACTGAGCACATATCGTCGATGCGATAAGCCGATAACCACCGCAAAAATACTCTAAGAACACACGGCATATTCTTCGCCTGTTGGTAGGCCAAGCCCGCCAGTGTTCTTTTTGCGTGTGTATGGAAAATCAGCGCAACGCCGCGAAACTTGCTTTTGTTCATGACATCACATTGTTCATGTAAGCACATGACCAATATCGCAACGCGAGTGAAATTCTTGACTCAAGTCACACAAGGTCAGGTCACCAGGTCATCTGAAGTGATCAGGCCTCTAAACAACTTTCGTGATTCTGTCATTCATATCCCTCGCCCCGTTGACGTCTGGCAGGTTCCATGTCCTGTTGGGGGGGGGGGGGGCAAAGGGCCCCCCGTCGTATCTCCGGACCCGATAGCCGGATCGGAAAAATTCAAACGGCATTCAAAAGAGCTCATCGAGATGCACTGGACAGGATGTCGATGACCTTGATATTTGACCTGTGACGTCACAGGGAGGTCAAACAAGGTCAAATCATTCCAATTTACAATGACGAGAAGTCGGTCATAAAAATGAAATCTATGATTCCAAAATGAGTCTGGTAATGATTTGAATGATGGATCTGGAATGTGGATCTGAGTGGATAATGACCCGTGACGTCACAACAGAGGTCAGCCTCGACCAATCAGAAAACACTTTCGTGAATCGTAAGGAAAGGCGTGCTAAATTATGAGTATTCGAGTCTTTATGAAGACATGTCGTATATATGCAGCAACATAAACCTCCTTGACCATTTTTGCCTATGACGTCACAGGAAGGTCAAATAATGTCAAATTGGACCGATTTACAACGAAAAACATTTTTTACGTAAGAGTGACTTTATTCACGTAAAGGTTCATATTCAGTCTGAAAGAGGTTAATGAGTATCATAAATATTACTGCTGACTGATTTCAAGCACAAATACCGAAAATATGGTGCCGTCATAAGAACAGTCGCTACCTTTTCAGTCATTCAAATGGCTATATCTCTGTCAGTTTTAGATATATTTTGTTAATTTTTGGCATGTGTGAGGCCCGTATAGGGTTCTCCGATATATATTCCGATTTTATGGACATTTCCACAATTTTCAAAAATATCTCAAGAAATCTAGATTTTCAGTTTGGAAATCACCAGGTCTAGGGATTTCCTGGTTTTCGAATTTTGGAGATAGCCATTTTGTTTGCCATGTTTTTTGTACCTACGGTACAATTGTTGAGTCTCTAGATTGAAACTGCGATTTTCTGCGATTTTTACTTGAACAACTTTTTCGACGAAAAACACCGAACATGACCTCGGTTTGACCTCTATAGCTTGTGACCTGAGATGACCTAGGACCTAATTTTTTAGGAGTGGTGTAAAATTGATGCCCGGAGCGGTACTAAAAGTTTGAAGTCCAAATCCGCAGTCGTTGCTGAGTTATCTGCGAAAAACCACAGGAGTACCCTTTGCCCCCCACCCCCCACCCCAACGGGTCGCGGGATATAGTTATCATCATAGATGTGTAAAACTCGGCTATTGCTAGAGGGAATCAGTATCAACAACCTGTTTATCTCGAATTTCGATTTCGATGACCTAAGGTCAGGTCAATTTTGTCGTTTCTCCATTACCTATAAGTCGATGGAGGAAAATGAAACGTTTTTTTCTGAACGAAAACTCATTCAAACATCGGGATATATAGATAAATATACACACTGAGTCAAAAAAATGCCGCTCTTAACCCTTTTTGTGCTCCTGAGGCCATATCAGGTCATGAAATGCATCCAACAGTTTTTCACAGTAACATCGAGCCGTGAAACAGGCCTCAGGTGGCGCATTTAATTCAACTTTCTTCATACTGTTGTCTCCTGTTTGAAAACCTAAATGCACCGTGTCCCCTATCATACATAAAAATAAAATTATTGCATAATGCATAGGTCTGCGAGTACAACTTTGCTGCATTCATATGAGCCAGGGCCGCATGGCATTGGTGCTCGAGTTTCTGCTCCTAGTCTTTGGCCTGGCTCCGATATTATCGATGAATCAGGCCGGCGACATTCACATATGCCACGATACATTTGTGCCACATAATTGTGCCTCAACAGATATTGCAGGTTTTAGGCTGTAGGTTGTAGGTTGTTAGGTTGTAGATTGTTGGTTGTAGGTTGTTATGTTGTAGGTTGTGGTTTGCAGGTAAGGTTAAGTCCGGCAAGCTAATGTTTTCTTCTATATTTAACTGCGAAAAGACAATTACGGCGCACGTGAGAAGTGGACTCTGTGGCACATGTGACATACACCCAGTGAATCGCTGCTTTTTATCAAGCTTGAGTGAGACTTCAGGGCAAACTAGCGCATTACTGGTAAAGAAATGGAGCTACAGCATCGCTATTCAACGTGTCGGCTTGATGGGCCAATCGATTACTACATATACTACATACAGGAAATGCCATAAGGCCACAGTGCGTCAGTCAAAGCAGGCAATTGAATGTGCGGGATAAAGTCCGTCCTGATAGTCGGAGGTCGGCTTAGTCGGTTTAGGCGGGGTTAGTCGGTGTGCCGATATCAAGAAGTGAGCTCCATGATTCAGCAGATACCATGTCAGATATCATATTCTCAAGTGTCAAAGCAGCGTATAAAACGTAAGGACAAGATAAGTAAGGTGCAGGACATCGAACGGTCCCACCTGGAGAGGAGTGGTCTACTGACCCCGTGTGACCCACCGAGGCAAGGTAGTGTGTACTGAGACCTGAAGAGGAGCGGCCTACTGAGACCTGAAGAGGAGCGGCCTACTGAGACCTGAAGAGGAGCGGCCTACTGACACTAAGACAAGGTAACGTATACTGGAAAAGTGCATCGCGAAAAAAGTGTCTATTTTCCGTGACAAATGCAAAAAAAAACAATTCAAGGTACCAATCCATTATCCAATTTTATGGTCGGTATAGGTCATCAATTGACCGTACAGGTCAAAACTAGTAAGGCCAAAGTCAAGCAATTCAGGGCATGTTAGAACTTTGGGAAATGAGACTATTCGAGGTTTTTGGGCGTCCTGATTTTTATTTCGCAATGCATTGTCTTTCTCAAATTTAGTGGCTTTTGTGTTCCCCACCCTGTCAAACATTATTACGGGCCTGGTTTCAGATGGCATCACCTACTCACGATGACGGGGTGGTGGATGTTGCCAAACGTAGCCGGCAACGAAGTGCTGACACTGGACCACCCTCCAAGGCCAGCAGGTCAACGGAATCATCATCACAAGCTTCGACGAGCTGAGAGCGAGAGAGAGAGAGAGAGAGAGAGAGAGAGAGAGAGAGAGAGAGAGAGAGAGAGAGAGAGAGAGGGAGAGAGAGAGAGAGAGAAAGAGAGAGAGAGAGAAAGACAGAGGGAGAGAGGTGGAGAGAGAGAGTGAGAGTGAGAGAGAGTGAGAGAGAGAGAGTGAGAGAGAGAGAGTGAGAGAGAGAGAGAGAGGGAGAGAGAGAGAGAGAGAGAGAGAGAGAGAGAGAGAGAGAAAGACAGAGGGAGAGAGGTGGAGAGAGAGAGTGAGAGTGAGAGAGAGAGTGAGAGAGAGAGAGTGAGAGAGAGAGAGTGAGAGAGAGAGAGAGGGAGAGAGAGAGAGAGTGAGAGAGAGAGAGTGAGAGAGAGAGAGTGAGAGAGAGAGAGGGAGAGAGAGAGAGAGAGAGAGAGAGAGAGAGAGAGAGAGAGAGAGAGAGAGAGAGAGTGAGAGAGAGAGAGTGAGAGAGAGAGAGGGAGAGAGAGAGAGAGGGAGAGTGAGAGAGCGAGGAGAAGTAAAAGAATAATCAAGAGCGCATAAAATGATGCACTATTCTCTTTCTCTCTTTCTCTCTTCTCTCTAGTTTGTATAATCCCTCGAGTTTAGCTGAACAACGGATGATAGTAGATCTACGATCTCTTCAATTTTCGATGCAGCACGACAAATTCAGGATATTTTGCCCACTACTATCCATCTTTCGATGCATTTGCTACTGTGATGGTCTTCAAAACTTACATGTGTGCTCAAGTGAAAAATAAGAAACGGAACACATGTGATTGAACACGTACCGATGACCCACTGTCAAAAGTTTTAGCACGATATCTTCAAAATGGCGAAGTTAGCCGGTTTTACTTTTTGCGGTAGTCAATTCACAGTTGCGTGGATTATTGACATTACCAATGCTTCCAAATGAACTTACCTTTTCGACATAGTACACTCTCAAAGCTGGCAATGAGCCTCCGCTCGGGTGCCGCTCCCTACCCCCCCCCCCGCTTCACCGGTCATGGCTAGATTTCTGCACTCATGCGCTATGCCCGTGGGCCCCTTTAAACTAGCACCGGGCCCCCCGGGTCAGTGCAGGGGCCCCTTTGCCAAGTTGCCCCCCCCCCCAAACGCCAAGTCTGCGACCGCCCCTGAGTAAATCCATAGCTTATTTTGGACATATTAGTGTGTTTAGTATTCAACATTCTCTTCTTCGGGTCCACCCTTGTCCCTATTGGCGTATTTACAGCAGCTAATGTACGTACAGCCCACCGCTAAAGTAATGTGTGGTTTTACCAATCTCAACGGTTGGTTTTGACAGACGATTTTTAAATGCGGGCTGATTGAAAAAGAAGACGTCAATAGATAAAGTTGTAGCTGCAAGGGTGAAGATACATGTAAGCTACATTTAAAGTCTCGTTGCAGTCTGGCTGATCGTTCCTAGGCTTCAGAAGCAGAACATACCAATGACTGAAACCACACATTACTTCTGCTGTGGACTGTACCTAGAGGCCGGGGGAGGGGTCGATCGGACTCCTACAGCTGATCGGTTCCTGACCGAGTATAAGAGCTTCACGAAAAATGAAGATGCTGGCCCTAGACAACATGAAGCCGGTGGTATCTGATATTATGGTCAGGTCATTCGTCGACCGTCAATGGTGGGTCAAGGACCCAAAACACAAAGTCCGAATCTGTTAGAACTTCTTGGAAACGAAGTCTGTGGCATTTTGGATTTATTTCGAAATTTGTCTCGTGACACATTTGGAGAAGCTAGGGTCAGGTGAGGTCAGGCTGATTTTGTTTTCCACCACTGAGTTTTGAAATATGGGCTCTAAAACAAGCTCTTAAAAGCTTATGTGAATCCCGAAATCGAAAAGCCTATGCTGTGAATCTGCGCGTAAGCCAGTGCCCGCTGGGGCCCATGAATTTTCAAGCCGACGATGGCGAGGGGGTCTAAACGAGGACCTAACTCGTCCCCTGGACTATATAGTTACAAGACGTCAGCAGTGTTGTGAAGGTCGCAAGGTTACGCTTTGATTATTTTTGGTCCAGCAGAGCCAAGAGGTCAGGTGACCAGACACTTTTCCGAGGTCAAAGACAAATTGCCCTTATTTTGGTTCGCGTTCAACGGATAAGCCTCCATAGAGCAAAACCGTAAAATGAAACGCTTTGTGCGGGAGCCGCTTTCTGAAATATTTTTTTTTTAGGCATAATGTTTGTAAAAGCTTTTCCTAGCCACCCAACATCATGCCCCCAAACCACCCATCCCCATTGATCGGTAGTTGGAAATTAACCCTCGCCGGACCTATTGGTTTTCTACATACGCGCCGGCCGAGGGGGGGGGGGGCGGGTACGACCCCCCCCCCTCGCCGTTTCGCCCCTGGTGGAGCTAGCGCGTCGCGGAAAAAACGAGCGTGTGCGCCGTTACGAGACGCAGAGATTGGTACCCGATTTTAAGGTCCTAGGTCAACCGGTGACCTCTGAGGTCAGGTCAAGTGCCCCAGGGTACGGTTCAGTTTTTGGTGAATAACTTCGCAAAAAACGGCCGCAGAGCCGCGATTTTGGCAGCATCGTGTTCGCCTTGATCAGGCGCGTCGAATGATATACTTTTTGTCCGGGTCAGGTCAACTTGGGGTGTTGACCTCAGGTCAAGGTCAGGTCAGCACCCCCAGGTCACGAAGTTGGTCGAAAGAGGTCATGTCGCATATCATTCGATTCGGCAGGTCTTCCTGAGTCCATTGGTGGCTTTCCCGACTCGCTAGCTCAATTTGATCGGGAGTTATTGACGAAAAACTAATATGACCTTGATGACGTCATAAATGACGTCACGGAAGGTCAACATTGCAAAAGTGACGCATCTAACCTTGCAAGGAGTGCATCAAATCACGATTCTGTGTGCTTGAGATAGTTGGAGATCGTTCCCGGCGCCAGAATAGCAGTTTGAATTTTTCCCCATTGACTTATAATGGTGAGGTCACGAAAATGACCTGACCTCATATGACCTTTAGGAAAAATCCGAGATATACAAGTTGTGAGACTCATAATGGATACTAGATCCTGCAAGTTTCATTTCCCTGTGACATCTCCTCTGGCAGTGAGGGCGTTGCGAAGTTGCGACATCTGAAGACCGTGCAGAGGTTTACTTATGACGTCATAGGTCAGTGACCTGACCTGACCCAAAAATGCGGTTGGTGTCAAAAGATGCGGCTTGGATCAAAGGTCAGGTATGCCAAGTTTCAGCTCTCTATCGCCAGCGTGTTCGGAGCTATCGCGAAAAAACCCTATGGGGGGGGGGGGCGGCACCCGCCCCCCCCCCCTCGGCCGGCGAGGGTTAAACAAATGAGCGCCAGTTGCGAACAGCGACTGAAAGCTGCTACTATACCCATAACAAGTAATGGTACAAAAATAATGCTGCGATCTCGGGAAGATAATGCCTCCTAGAAACATTGCAAGCTTCGTCCGTTACTTCAATATGTTTGATTAACCGACCGTGAGGCAGATCCATCCTAAATCTATTATCAACCAAGGAAAAAGCATTCGACATCATGAGAAGACAAAGTGAAATCAGCTTCTGCCAGATCCCAAGATATGCAGTGCAAATCACAAGATCCCAATGTTAATGTTCAAATCCCAAGATCTTGGGACAAATCCCAAGGAATGGCATCGCTGATGACGAGCATTCTGATTTTTCTGAGGTGAGGTCACTTGGCGTGACCTAGTGACCTGACCTAAGGCGACCTGGGTCTGAAATCTTAACAACATGTGCGGAAAAGATGCACGAACAGGTGTGCCAAAAACGCCGCCATTTTTAAGATACCTATCTGCGAAAAACCGCAGGGGGTGTTCAAACACCCCCAGCCCGGCCCGGCGCGGGTTTAATTCATATGGTCATCGTTCAGGCTTATTAGTTGTTGCTCATACAGAATGTAGGGATTGTAATAAGAGCTAAGGAGTTTTTAATGAATAATTTGGTCAGTTGATGTTGATTGTGAGAAAGTTTTTAACCCGCGCCCCGTAGGGCTACCGGCGGACCCTACCACCCGTAGGGGAGGGGCCGTTTCGGCCCCCCCCCCTAAGATCTCGGAAAGTTACCGGCCGATTTTCAAAATTCAAACGGCGTTCGATAGCCCCACCCGGTAACTACCTTGTGACCAAATTTCATTGACCTAGGTCAAACCGATGACGTCACAGGTCAGGTCAAAGGTCAGATTTTCACCGTTCACAGGCAATTCAAGAAATGTGCTGTGAAAGCGAGTAAATTGGTAATTTATTGAAAACCATCGATGGTACATTGTTCGTCAAACACATACTTTGCTATCTGAGGTCACTGATACCAGGTCAGGTCACAGCGAGGTCAGGTCACCGGGGGTCACAATATGAATGTGTCGTGTGATACATGTTTTATGGTCCATTTTACATGACAAATGCGATTATGTGGGTTAGGCAGCCTTTGGGGCCAGCCTAGGTCACGTTTTTGTGAAGGTCAGGTCAAGGTCAGGTCAAATTAGGTCAAATTTCAAAGTTGATATTTTTGCATAAAATGGGTATCGATTCGATGCAGCTCGTCACGGGGAGTCTAATGGTGGTCTTCGTTTTGCTCTACGAGTTCTAGAATTGCCAAAAATTGAGTTTGAAAATTTGACGTCATCATTTTTGAACAGTTTTTTCGCTATAACTTGGCCAAAAAACGAGGTATCGATCTGAAATTTGGTATGTAGATAGAAGACGGTAGGCACTATCACATATATTCCGGTTTTTCCGAAACTCAAAAAACTTTTTGGATTTTTTGGCGAATATATCCAAAAAAATGCTTTTTTGATTTTTGGGGGTCAAAACTCAAAAATTTTAAAAATTCGAGATAGCAGTTTTGTAGCCCTGTCAATTCTACACCTTTTATGTCTTGATCATTTTTCTGTATCTTCAAAGCTGTAGTCCTGACAGGTTTTCTCGCGAAGGTCTTTTTTCGGTCGAAAATGACAGAACATGACGTCACTCTGACGTCATTTGTGGCCAACCTATCATAGCCTCTGGAAAAATTTTTGGTCACAATGTGTAAAATTGATGCCCGGAGGGGTCCTGAAAGTTTCGTGGCGATATCTCCAGCCGTTTAGGAGATATCGACCGAAAAGGACAGGGAGGGGCCGTTTCGGCCCCCCCCCCCTACGGGGCGCGGGTTAACCCTCGCCCGTAAAGGGTGTTTTGCCACCTTCGCCCATGCAGGGGGGGGGGGTTGGTTCGACCCCCCTGGCGTTTGAAAACGGAGCGTCGTAGAGCTTAGAGAAAAAGACCAGCGGATTGCTCTCAACGAGATCTCGCGAGTGGTGGTATATTTTTTGGTCCTAGGTCAATATTTGACCTACTTATGACCGGTCAAAAGTCAAATTTTCGGAAAAATCTAACTTTTTTCAGATTTCCGCGCCGATTGCGGCAAAACGGTAAGAGATATCAACTTGAAACCTTCACTATCGTGATCCTTGATCAATTCTCTATCGTTTGGTGTGTATTTCGATGTCATAACTCTAAAAGTGATGCGTTGGGAGCATCGGAAGTCTACAAGGTCAATTGTGCATTGGGTCACGTCAGGCGTGTGACGTCACTGACCTGACCCTGACCCAAAATGAACTACAAGAAACAACCGACGATGCCAAAAATGGATAGCAAATTCGAATTCAGGGCATCAAAATACCCGGAAAAGGCATACAAGTGCAAAAAGTCATAACAGGTCAACCGAGGTCACTGACCTTACCTTGACCTTAAGTAACCTTCAAAATGTCAACGGACATTGTGCCAATGTCAAATCAGCCAGTTGTGATTCTAAAACAATCCATCGGTGTGTCAGGTTAGTCGGCATTTATACCAATGTGAAGCAATCTCCAATTTAGCGTAAATCTGGCCGGAGGTTGTTCCCTTTATGACGTCATAACTCCGTGACCTGACATGACCTTGACAAAAAATACCAAAAGCTGCGCAAAGGATGCCCCAGAGGGTACTGAAAATTTGAGCAGGCTATCTGAAACGGTTCGGCGTGTAGCTAAGAAAGACCTCAGGGGGGGGGGGGGGCAGTGCTGGAAATGAGGCCGCTTTCTGATCCCGGCGTTTTATTCTCCGGGTGGGTTACCCCCATCTAGCGCTTAGCCTTTCGGGACCCTCTCAGGTTCGCGGCTGTTTTTCACCGCTCGGCTCATTCAAGATGCAAAGTTGACAGTCCCACGAAGTTTATTTGGGGCATCTTAATATACGACTCCGAAATTAATCGATTCTACAAAACCTTTTTCTTTCATCAATATGCATACATTTAACAGTAACTCCAGACTAGGCTGGTTTGGCTGGCCCTAAATAAGCTTCGTTTGACTATTAACTTTGCATCTCGACTGGGGCGAGCGGCGAAAACAACCGCGACCCTGAGTGGGTCCCGAAAGGCTGAGCGCTAGATGGTGGTAACCCACCCGGAGAATAAAACGCCGGGACCAGAAAGCGGCCTCATTCCCAGCACTGGGGGGTTGCACCCCCCCCCCCTACATGGGCGAGGGTTAAGAGTCATGAAGATACTAATGCGATGTGAGCTGCTAGCTTAGAAGCACATTTTCAGGTAATATAGCTAAAAACAACATCATAGATATTATCCCGCGCACTGACGGGGGGGGCGGATATCCGCCCCCCCCCCTGAGGTTTTTCGCGAATAGCGGGAAAATCGCGGCGCGTAGCGCCGCGAAATTTGGTACGACTATTCCGTCATCAATTTTACACATGGTGTGCAAGTTTGAACCTCCTACCTGTCAAGGTCAGGTCACCAGGTTACTTTGAATGACACAACCTCAAGTCACTTTTTTGCAACTTTGTCACCGTGCCAGAGCTACAGTAGATGTCGGAGGCCTTTGAAAGTCGTAGGATGTTATTAGATCATCAGTAGCTACAATTTGTATATCTCGGAATTTTGATATCGGTGACCTAAGGTCTGGTCAATTTCGCGACCTCCCCATTATAAGTCAATGGGGGAAACATGAACTCCCTGTTTTTACCACTAAAACGGGTCGGAATGGCCCCATATACCATAACGACTTCATATACCTTGACTTCATATACCTCAGTCCTTATTGATTTTTGAACTCGGCCTTCGGCCTCGTTCAAAAATTCAGTAAGGACCTCGGTCTTGAAAATTTATTTACACCGCCCTCGTTCAGTATTATATAGTACCGACCTACTACCTATACACTGATCAAAAGCTAGTTTTACCAACAGAAAAGTCGACGACCGCCGTGTGTTTATTTTTAGCTTGAAGTTGCCACCAATTTCAGTAATCACGCGACAAAATACCGCTGATGTCAAGATCTATCAATCAGCTGGCTGCTTACTACATAAGGCGTTATTATTCTTGCGACCAGTGACACGTGTTGGTGACATTTAGATTTAAAGATGACCGTATCGTTCGGTGCTGAATCGGCCGCTAACGGCTTTCTGTCGCTAAAACCTGTTCTGTTTCCGCGTTTCTGATGATGCTAAATGTTATCTGTGTGTTGGAAGGGCAACGGTCACTGACCAGTACTGTATGGTGTACGAATGTCACTTTAAATTATCTGATTGTCGTAGAACATTGTCTTACGTCTTATGCCTATTCAAACATCGCTTATAATGTCTTACGAAACTTTCAGCAATATCACACTTGCACTGTTTGTCATGTCGACTCTCAGATATGCTTTATCTGAACATAACCTTTCATTATTTACCAATTACTGCTTTCTGCCGCTTGCCGAAAGCTCCAAAAGCTCTTACCGCTTTCTGACTGTTACGCGTTATCTTACCTTTACCATGGCGCTCCAACAGACGGTGACGCATCCAATATTTCTTTACAAAGAAACACCAAGAAAGCTCATCTATTTCCAATAGATATCGCATTACCGGGCTGGGAATCTAACCACTACCTTCCACCCACAGACGTCGGTCTCGCTCTCGGAGCAAGGACCGCTCCTCCCGCTCCCGACGCTCTCCCATCAGCCAATCATCGTCACGGAGAGAGCGGAGCAGAAGCGAGCGGAGCCAACGGTCCAGGAGCACGGAGCATAGGCGGAGCCGGAGCCGGAGCAGGTGAGAGAGGAGAGAGAGAGAGAGAGAGAGAGAGAGAGAGAGAGAGAGAGAGAGAGAGAGAGAGAGAGAGAGTGAGAGACGGGGCAGAGGGGGAGGGTGTTGCAGTTGCAATAATCGCCGCCATTGTAGCTACTGTATGATACCTATTGTTTTGGAGCCGATGAAAACCGATGAAAGCCGATCGAGGGTACTAGATGTAGATGTAGATGTAGATCGGGGTATAGCCTTTGTAACGGCACCCCTTGTTTCTTCACTGTCACTTTAGCCATAAATATGGATGCTACGACTAAGCAGGTTGACTAAGCACTAAGCGTAAACAAAATGAGCGTGCGTGCCTGTGGGTACTGAAAGTTTCGTTCGTCGCGATCGGCCGCTTTTTACGCGAGTTATTCGCGAAAAACCGAGGGGGGTCCGTTCGACCCCCCCCTTTACGGGGGAGGGTTAAAACAGTCCCCCATTTGATCTTATTAGATCTCATTTTTAACCGCGCCCCAGTGGCGGTCTCAGCCAACTTCGCCCTAGTGGGGAGGGGGCATATGTTACCACCCACCTCTAACTCAAAAACTAAGAGGGCTAGAAAGACGCGGTAAAAAGCAGTCGATAGCTCTCAGTGCGTAGGTTTGAAAGTATATAGTCATTTTTCATCTTAGAGCAATATTGCAGTCACCAGAGGTCATCAAAGGTCAAAATTCGCCAATGGTCATTATATATTTTAGAAAACACGCCGTTATCTCAGGAACTATGGTAGCTAGACATACGCATGGAAAAGCAATTGAAAGCTTAGCTTTTGAACTCTTCTTTTGATAAGTATATTATCAAAATTGACCTCAGGTCGAAGGATTAGCCATCAGGGGGCAAAAACTCCAAAAATAGCTGTTTTTACGAAATGTGATTTCGACAATTACTTTCGACTACAAAAAGCCACGACATTTCTATTGCCAGAAACGTGTTCCTCTCGCCGAGACGCGTCGAATGAACTGTAATTTGACCTTGAAAAGTCAACTTGAAAATTTGACCTCAGGTCAAGGTCATGACCTGACCGAAAAAGGTCATGTTGCATATCAGTCGATCCTCAACGTCGAGCCTACCACAGCTAAGGCGTTTTCAGCGCCCTAGCACGCCTCTATCAGAAGTTATTAGCGAAAAACTGTTAGATTCTGTTCGTGACCTGAGATGACCTCGGGGACATAACGAGGGGTCACAGTTGCCATTTTCCGGGTCAGTTTGTCAATTTTACCCACATCTAGATGTTTGAGAGTGTCTAGAATAGCGTTCGTGCAAAACAGACGCTTTTCAATTTTTTCCCATTGACTTATAATGGAGAGACCGCAAAATTTACCTGACCGTAGGTCACAGATATGGAAACTCCGAGATATACATTTTATAGATAATGTTGCTCTAATCAATCGCTGAAAGTTTCAAGGCAATCGATCAATCGGTGTAGCTATGACTAGCATTCTTATTTTTCTGAGGTGAGGTCACTTGGCGTGACCTAGTGACCTGACCTAAGGTGACCTGGGTCTGAAATTTTAACAACATGTGCGGAAAAGATGCACGAACAGGTGTGCCAAAAACGCCGCCATTTTTAAGATACCTATCTGCGAAAAACCGCAGGGGGTGTTCAAACACCCCCAGCCCGGCCCGGCGCGGGTTAATAACATGACAATCTTAATTCATATGGTCATCGTTCAGGCTTATTAGTTGTTACTCATATAGAATGTAGGGATTGTAATAAGAGCTAAGCAGTTTTTAATGAATAATTTGGTCAATTGATGTTGATTGTGAGAAAGTTTTTAAACCTGGCCCGTAAAGGGTGTTTTGCCACCTTCGCCCATGCAGGGGGGGGGGGTTGGTGCGACCCCCCTGGCGTTTGAAAACGGAGCGTCGTAGAGCTTAGCGAAAAAGACCAGCGGATTGCTCTCAACAAGATCTCGCGAGCAGGGCTGGGAAAAATGCTGAATCTGCTACATACCAGATATTACGAGAAACTCTTATTAGCTACATTGCCACAAATGTTCCTCACATCATTTTTGCTAAAGAAAATGATTTTACATAGAAATTCTGGGCAGAACTTTCCACTACCATTTTCTATCTTTTCTCAAAATGAGCTTTAAATGTTTTGATTTAGTTGGCTGCACGCACAAAAAAAGATACAGTGTCTTGCTTCTGCCCCCTGTGAATGCTCTTTTTCTTATTTCTTACTCTTTGTAGGAAGCATACAAATACCAAAATAAGGTGCTGTGGAGTGTGGGGTTTTCTCAGGGCAAGTTCCAGCACCCCCTGGAGCACCAGGAAGCTCCAGTGAGCCCTAGAATTTTCCTATCAGCATCCCAGCACCTTTAGGATTCAGAGGCCTACTCAGGCAGAAAGTATTTGGAAGAAATCAGGTTGATTTGGCTAATCAGTCTGGTCAACAATTTACAATCATTGTGCATGCCGAACCCCCTGTACAAATGTTGCCAGTTGTCACTTATCAAGGTTTAGAGGTAACATTATAATTGAACAATCAAGAAGTAAATAAAATATTCTTTTCTGAGCGTTACTTGATCAATATTTCAATCAGATCTCACCTTCTGCGCAAATCCGATCATATCTCCCTAATCTTCACATCTTGCTTTGCGTGCTGGGCGGCTACCTTGCTCTTTAACTGGGTACTGCACGCCGCTATACGGACAGTTGTCATTACAGCACTTGAAATTAGGCCTGGAACATCCCACTTCCCTAAACTAGAGGCAAAATGAGAGATACACTTGCCGAAATGATGCAAAAACACCCAGAGAAACACTCATCAAAACCCATCAAACTAACCACGCGAAACGACAACTAGAATCGTCTCTAATGCGCCAGAAACAACGCATCAACCAAACACACAAACATAAATGATGTTTTTGTATATTTTTGTAAATGTTTCTTGATGTTACTTACAAAGAAGGTTCATTGGTGCTTTTAAACTCTTATTCTACTAGATGGCATATTTTGCGCTATAACTGTGCGTTTTGATAGATGCGTTTGAGGGGGCATTTGTTTGGGTGTGGGAACTTATGATTTTTATTTGTTTTATTTTGTCGGAGTCGGATATTTGTTTGAACGGCTTGGTACGCTAGTGCTGGTTGCGGGTTGTTAGAGCCTTTCTCATGTAGTTCCTTTATCGAACTCAAACCCACCCTACCCTACCTTAACCTACCCATACCCTACCTTACTAATAACCTACACATAGTTACCCTTCTCATACTCGATTAAAGTAATGTACCAAATTTGAGCGCAATCGGCCCAGCCGTTCTTGAGATATAAAACTGGCCCACTGCACGTGCGCACGCGCAAACTGAGACTCCAGATAGCTTGTGCCAGCCACCTTTCTAAATTGTCCCCACCAGTGAACAAAATTTGAGCGAAATCGGCCCAGCCGTTCTTGAGACGTATAAGAAGACCCCTCACGTGCGCACGTGCAGTCGATCCACCCTACCTGTCACAAATGACCATACATCGCCAGGAGAGTGCCCCCTCCACCCACAGTCCAAGTTTCAGCGCAATCGGCCCATTAGTAGCTGAGTTATTCCGAGTACAATAATGTGCTGTTTACTGGTAGGCGCTATTTTCAGTGTTTGGAATTCTCCTTTGCGGGCGGTGCATTGCAGCCCATGCTTTGATAGCTATTGTGAAAAGTGGAATGACCTGACGGCCATAAGCCATCGATCGGATTTTGTCGAAAAATACCTGTAACGTTAACAAAACACGGTCGTATGTTTAAGTCATTTTCACAAAAGTTTATTGACTTTTCGATAATATTTTGGGTGGATATGGGTCAGAAAAGAATGCTCTTTCCGAATATGTAGGTTTCATAGCCATTGATTAGCGTTTTAAATACGTTTTGATGTTGTAAAGGACACCGCGCTCCGCGCGAATCAAAATTTCGAATTAATTTTTCATTATTAAAGAAATGGTACGGATCATCACTTTTTATCTGCTATCCTCTGATTACACGTACATTTGCCTGCAAAATGGCACCACACCGATTTCATTCCGTCAAGCCGTTTTCCAGCGGCATCGATTTTCCCGTCACAGTGCACGAAATCGGTCATTTTTTCACAACTGGGGGTGCTGTCTTGCACGTGACGCGTGCTATACTATGAAACCATGTCAATACGCTAGGCCCATCTCTCCTCTATCGAGTGGTGTAACCCGCTTCTCGCTGCGACCCTCCGTTGCCGATTTATACAGCCGGGAAGCGGGCGCCGCAGGCCGGTTTTCGCCCGATCTTCGATTTGACCGTTTCCCGTGTTAACCCTATGGCGCACGCGAGCGCGTGCTGACGGCGCACCCCTGGGCCGATCACGCCCAAATTTTAATACAAAGGCTGCCCACGCCCACAGATTCGGCATGCCAAATTTCACGTCGATACGCGGCGCCTTTCAGGCGCAATAAGACACATAAGGCATGACGGATTACGCACGCACGGACGACTTATAAATCATAATATAGACTAGATGGCATGTTTTGCGCTATAACTGTGCTTTTTGATAGATGCGTTTGAGGGGGCATTAGTTTGGGTGTGGGAAGTTATGATTTTTATTTGTCTTATTTTGTCGGAGTTGGATATTTGTTTGAACGGCATGGTATGCTGGTGCTGGTTGCGGGTTGTTAGAGCCTCTCTCATGGTTTGCCTTTATCGAATTTAAACCCACCCTACCCTACCCTACCCTAACCTACCCATACCCTACCTTACTAATAACCTACACATAGTTACCCTTCTCATACTTGATTAAAGTAACGTACCAAATTTGGGCGCGATCGGCCCAGCCGTTCTTGAGATATAAAAGCGGCCAACTGCACGTGCGCACGCGCTAGCTGAGACTTCAGATGACTTGTGCCAGCCACCTTTCTAAATTGTTCCTAACGGTGTACAAAATTTGAGCGAAATCGGCCCAGCCGTTCTTGAGATGTATAAGTGGACCCCTCACGTGCGCACGTGCAACCGATCCACCCTACCTGTCACACATGAC